TCTGGTGATCCATCTGCTCGTTTGCCTGCAATATCCACTTACCCGGGTCAATAGGTCTAACAGGCTCTGTCCTGGGTATAGTGAAGTATCCTTTGGGGTTGGGGTCCCAGCATTTTGCTACAACCAGCTTGATGGGGCCAGGTTTCTGCACCACCTCGCGTAACACCCTCACGGCTTCATCATTTGTCATATCTTCGAAGTTCACGTCGTTCACCTGGAATTGTGGTTTGAAACTGGTTAGTCATGTTCGATTCTTGGGTCGAGTGAATTAATGTAATTTTTTTTTGTTGCATTTTTTTTAGTCAATAGTTATGTCTGTGTTTTTTTTTTATGGATGGCATAAGCCGGTAAACGAGCTGACGGATCACCTGATGGTAAGCAATCGGCGTCGCCCATGGACACCTGGAACACCAGAGGCGTTACAAGTGCGTTACCGGCCTTTTGGGGGTTAGGAATTTGAGGATCATTGGGGATTCAGGAATTGGGGAGATTGGGGAAGGGGAGGGTAATTGGGCCTCCAGTAACCTCACTCACACGACGAAACACAACGCAAGCGTTGCTTGACGTCGGTTTTCTGCTCGGTCGTGGTATCACTCCGGTCGAGCCGGCCCAGCAGTGCCGAAGCATGGCTCTCCCACACTTAAAATGATATTCTCTCCTTTTGATTTTATTTTGTCTTGTTTTAAATTAGTAATTAGGTACATAGATTTAGTTTTAGGCCTAAACTATCGCAATGGAGAAAACTGTAATGATAGATTTAGGTAAAGTTTTAAATAAATGTTCGATTTTAGACAGAGACTTTAAGTAAGTCAGTCAGTTAGTCAATCAATCAGAAATTTGTTTGAAGCATTCCCCAATTTTCAAGGTAGAAAGTTAAAAATCGGTATGCGGACTATTCGTGACTGAGAAACTAAATTGTGCATGATTACATAACATCACACCTTTTATCCCCGAAGGGGCAGGCAGAGGTGCACATCATGCCACTGTACAATGTAACACCCACTTTTCACTATTTATGTTATGAGTCCCATGTAATAGGGGGTGAGCCTATTGCCATATACCGGGCACATTTCCAGACTTCGTGCTACCACTGAGAATTTAAAAAAGAACCAGTAATGCCTTGCCCGGCAGTCGCACTTGCGACCACTCATCCAACGAGGTAGGCAGACAGTTGTGCATGATTAGTTCATTAAAACCAATAGGAGTCCAGCAGCGGGTGGAACGCGTGGGAGTAGATAGCACAGTCATGAGTAGAGATTAAAATCTAAGTCAAGTGGTATTATCATGACAACTGTGACAGATTACGTGATTGATTTTTTTTATTTAGACGGATCACCTGATGGTAAGCAATCAGCGTCGCCTGTGGATACCCGGAACACCAGAGGCGTTACAAGCGCGTTACCGGCCTTTTGGGGATTAGGAATTTGAGGATTGTTGGGGATTCAGGAATGGGTAGGCGGGGATGATTAGACCTCCGGTAACCTCACTCACACGACGAAACACAACGAAAGCGTTGTTTCACGACGGTTCTCCTACAAAAAACGGCCGTGGTATCACTCCAGTCGAGTCGGCCTATTCGTGCAGAAGCATAGCACACATATTTTCACACACTTATGACTGAACAGTCATTACTGATTCACAAATATTAAATATTACCTACTTCCGCGCGGTTTCACACAACTTTTAACAGAAAATATTTATCCAGATATCAACAAGAAAAAAGTTAGTGACTCCGTTTCTTCGCTCCCAAGCATAGTTTGTATGGACTTCAAGAAAGGACAAGGTACTCTGTTCGAATGATTTTATTTGTTCATAAATTATTTAGTTTCTCAAGTGATAATCGAGGCTATAAAACATCACGCTACGACCAATAGGAGCTGAGCAGAGCGTGTGAAACCGCGCGGAAGTAGCTAGTTATTTTTATAAAGTTACAGAGGGTTCAATAAAATTGAAAAAAGAATGCTAGTGGCTCCGTTTGTCTGTTTCCCAGTTTCTCCAATCCCCAAATATATTTATTATTGTCTAAGAGATGCAGAATCTCTGTTATCTAGAGGACACAGGACTTAAAGTCAAGTTATAAATATTTGTAAACATCTGTAACATTATGCAACAAGTCTGATTTGAATAATTCTTTTTGTAGCGCATTTATCGAGGATGGCTATAGGCTATAAAACATCACGCTACGATCAATAGGAGCTGAGCAGAGCGTGTGAAACCGCGCGGAAGTAGCTAGTGGCTCTGTTTGTCTGTTTCCCAGTTTCTCTGATTCCCGAATGTATTTATTATTGTCTAGAGATGCAGAATCTCTGTTATCTAGAGGACACAGGACTTAGTCAAGTTATAAATATTTGTAAACATCTTAAACATTATACCACCATAACATGTATAGTAATCATGTAATACAATACTATAAACCAGGGATGGCCAGCTTGTTTAGACCCAAGATCGATTTTTCCCTGACGACACCTAGTACAATCTACCAATTACATTACTACTTAAAATCTTAAATGAAACAGCATAATTCGTACACAATTATGTAATATTTTAATTTTATTATGAGGGAAAACATAAAACCACACCATATTATTGCAATTGGTAATATCATTGTACAATGTATTTAATTTTTTTTATTGCCAAGATCGCCTGGACTAATAGATGCGATCGACCGGTCGATCGTGATCGACTGGTTGGCCACCCATGCTATAAACTAATAGCAGTTATGTTATGAGTAATATAATTGTGAGTCAGTGTTAGTAAACATAACATAATGAATTGTATCATGTGACATTCTTTTCTGACTTTCTCATGGGACACAGACACAGGTCTGAGTTTGTGTATGTGTGTATTCTTATACTTATCTATATATGTAGAAAATAGGTATAAAGTAATCCTTACTAATATTATAAATCGGAAAGTGAGTTTATTCCGATTTCACGCCATAACTACTAAACCGATTGCTTTGAATTTTTGCAGACGTAAAGTTAGGAGTCTGGATTAAATAATAGGATACTTTTTATCCCGGAAAATTTTGATATTCCCAGGAGAAAACAAAAGTATTGGTATAGATGGCGCTGTGTGTATTGGTATATGTCACATAGGCTGCTTTTTAGCCTTTTGTGATGTGAGCGAAGCTGCGGGTAAAAGCTAGTCATACTATAAATTGCCAAATAGTCTGTGGTTGGTTTAGACGTCAGTACAATAAGAATTTTGTGTTATATAGAGTATAATAATATGTGGAAGAATAAACATAATGTCATTTCTTCATTTTAAGAAAACCTTAATTAAAGAAAACCTATTTTCTCAACATACATATATAAAAAATTAACCCCTTTTTCCCCTGGGTATGGCATTAGGCATGAATGGCTGGACCGATTTCACTAATTCTTTTTTTTGTTGTATTTGTAATTTAAAGGAGAAGGACCTTAAGACAGAAAATCCTGAAAATCCTACGGGAACAGGAGAAAACAAGATTGCGCATAAGAAGTCACAGTCAGAAGCTAGTATGCTTGTGTGACTGCACTAACCTCCAGAACTACAGGTTGAAATTGAATAATTCTTATGGTATTGGATATTCCATTTATTGAGGAAGGGTATAGGCTATAAAACATCACGCTCCGAACAATAGAAGCCAAGCAAAATAGGTGAAACTGCATTGGAGCTACTTATAACATATACAGTTCTTTCTTTCAACTTTTTGACCTGGTCTTTCCCATTACATTATGATTAAAGTGTTAACCAGCTCCTGTACGTTAGTATTGTACATAATTATAGCAACTAAGATAAGAATTCCTAAAGATAAACCCTCATTTCTGGATGGATTTCTACTTTTTAGGCAACTGATACAAATAAATTTACAACATACCTGTAATATCATGTCTCCCGGTTCTATCCTTCCGTCCAGTGCCACGGCACCCCCCTTCATGATGCTGCCAACATATATGCCTCCATCACCACCCTTATTCGACTGTCCCACTATAGAAATACCGAGGAAATTGACTGTATCCATGTTCAAAGTCACTGTTATAATGTGCATAGACATTGTGGAGTCCGTTATGGAGGAGTACGAAGACGTTCTCGACATCACCTGCGGTCTTTTACGTCTCCGTTGAGGTCTTTTGCGAGAACTCACTTGGAGGTGTGACACGCTACTGCATTCCGTCAGCGCTCGGTCCACGGACGCGTTAGTGTGCCGGCCAGTCGTCGTAGTGATCTCCGACTGACTGTCGAAGAGACTGGTCGAATCCAAGTCAGAACTCAGCACCGATGCCGTCTCGTACTCCAAACCATGATTGCCGTACTTCGAGTGGCCGTTTATGCGTAATCCTCGGTATTTATACTTGTCACACGAAGCTCGGTGGCCCGGCCGCGAGCTGATCGTGCTGTCCGTGTCCGTACAGGTGTCTCGAGTGACGGGCGCCGGAGCACCGTGATTTGGTTTGCCTTTACCAGCATTGCTATCAGTACACTGTGAAGCTCCATCGGAAGGGTTCGAACCCTCAGCAGACACTAACCACGACACTACACGACCGTTAAAACACGGTAAATGCGCGTTATCGTCAACAATTTCCTCTTTAACAACACCGAAATCATCGTCCATGGATTTGAAGAAAAACTTATAGTTCGGCCGATTCAACTGGTTTTTAAAGTCCAACAACGTCACTTTCTCCGGTGAAATTGGAATTTTCACTAAATAAGGAGTTTCCTCATCGTCTATATAATAAATAACTTTAGTCTCCTCCATTTTTAATGCATTTATTTATTGAATAACAACACCCTTACGATCTATAAATATCGGTCGCCATCACAAATATGGCGATAAAAATAGTTCTTCATTTGGACACCACGGGGCGCCTTTGGACCTTTCTATTTATCAAAACGTTCGGATACATTCACCAACCATCTAAAGTCACAAAAACAGATGACAGAAAACTTTGAGAACCGCTGATGTTGTACTATAATCTGTGGAAAATTTACCGATTTGTTTTAACTGTGGCATTTGTTTATGAATTTTGAATTCAAAAGAGTCGTTTTCGTTTGTTGTTGCAACAGTTCTAATCAGTAAAATAAAGTACAAAAACTAAATAAATATCGACAAAAATGGCTTCAGAATCGAAAGAAACTTGGTTTCTGGATATTGTCGAGAAATTGGACGGCTTCTGCAAACGTGTAGACGGTAATTTACAGTGAAAAGTGTTTGTTGTCACAAAAAATATCTTAGATTTCTATAACAATTTCTTTACTAAAAATTACAGAAAAGATCGAAAAAGAACAGCAACAAATGAAAGCATGCAAAAAGAAGACTGAATTGGAAACTAAACTTGCACAAGAAATGAAATTACACGTAAGTTTTCCAGAATCTCTATTTCCTGAAGGGTGTCTTCAAGGCCCGAGTGAATAGGTTGCTTATGGGACGACGTGCTCCATCGTAGGACGCATCATCGCTTACGATATAGTGGTCAAACGGCGGCTTATCAAATAGATACGTAATAAAAAAGTTATCAATACGTATTCTTCAACTTAACAATAAAGAAATTTCTAACAATAATTAGGTACTCTGAACAGTACAGTTGAACAAGCTTCGAGCTACGATTCATCTGTATCACAATTTTTCACGCATTTTATACCTCACAATACAATTGGGATGATGGCAGGATATGAAAATTAAAAATCTAATTAGTCCGTAAGTTAGGTAGGTAATGAAAAAATATTAGACACGTATTTTTTTATTTTGTCGCAAAACAATACTTAAATAAAACGAATCAAAGTTTAGGAGTGGGGGCTAAAATGTCATTTCTACGTATAAAATGTCGGTGCATAAAAGTGACGTCACGCGACATTTCAAATCAATATATCGTCGAAAGTATTCGTTTCTGAAAAAAATAAAAAATACCTGTCTAATGATTTAAAGTATTCCCAACAACTGATCTTTAACTCGTCGCGTACCGGTTTTGTAGACACAATTATAGAACAATAGGTTGCGGTCACTGGTGACCGCTTGGTATTTGACAGTTTAAACACATAACATAACATCACACCTTTTAAAACCGAAAGGGTAGGCAGAGGTGCACATTACGGCACTTAATGTCACTGTACCTACAATACAACACCCACTGCTATTTTTATCTATTTTTCAACGCAAAAAGAGATATTTTACAATCAAGTCCAAATATAAACCTACTACTTGATTTTCAGAACGAGCTGACAGAGCGTCTCGCAGAGTTGGTGCGACGCGGCAGTGAGCTAGACCGAGTCTGTGCCACCTTCGAGTCACACCTCAGCATCGCAGACAGCGATAGAAATAGATTGGATAATGCCAAGTTAGTATACTAGAATAACATAACATAACATTACACATTTTATCCACTAAGGGGTAGGCAGAAGTGCACATGACGGCATTTATATGCCACTGTATGATGTAACACCCGCTTTTCACTATTTATGTTAGGAGTACCATGTAATATGGGATGAGCCTATTGCCATATACCAGGCACAATTCCAGACTCCATGCTACTACTGAGAATTTTTTAAAAACCCAGTATACAGTAAAGTAACCCAGGACACATATTTATCACCACACCTACTCTTCTTGTGGGTGTCATATACCCGACTAAAGGAATTTAGATTAGATCTTTTTATCAACTTGCCTGCCTGTCTCAATATGAAGATGACAGTATACCTTAACTGCTTAAGCTCCAAACGATCACCGGTGACCACTCTCCAACTCCATTATAGACCTTGTTTAGAGACTATTTAGGTTCAACGTAAATAAATAACAGTTTATCAAGTATACCATTCCATTACTCTTACAGTTTATTTCAGTGTTTGACTCAATACAATACTCATCCTTATGTTTACCTGTTTCAGAGAGACGTACCAGCTTGCTAAGGAGCTGACAGGCATCCGATGGGACTTCAGTGCTCCACCCAATGTGGCTAAAGGATGTATCCTTTTTATAAACTAAACTAGCTACTTCCGCGCGGTTTCACACGCTCTACTCAGCTCCTATTGGTCCTAGCGCGATGTTGATAGCCTCTAGCCATCCTCGATAAATGCGATATTCAACACAAAAAGACTTGTGTCTGATTTGAATAATTCTTTTCGTGTTGCGCTTATAGTTTTTTAATTAAATATTTCACAAAAACATTTCCTGCTGGGGAAACGTTACCCCAACCAGACGTTTTTCGTAACGTTTGAAGTAAGTCTTTAGAGCTCTTATTGAGAGTGCTGGGACCAATTGAAGTGTTTTTCTATTTAATGAAATAACCTTTAAGCTATGTATTATTTAGTTTTTTTGACTGCAGAACAAATTTAAACTAATTTCTAAAAAGCCATAAACAAAATATGATAAGAATCCGCTGAACCATTTCAAAGATCCTACAAAACCAAAAACGTTACCCCAGCAGAATCTCTAATAACTTCGCAACAAAAACAAAAAACAATAACAAACGCAAAAAGAACAAATACAAAATAAGGCACAACATTTACTTCATCTAGACAACAAATTTTATAGCTAGTAATTATTTAAATATTCCCATTAGAAAGAAAAAGTTCTGGCTGGAGTAACATTACCCCAGCAGGAAATGTTTTTGTGAAATAATTAAGAAACTATAAGCGCAACAAATTTAAAAATGTGCGCAACAATTACAGAAGCCGCACAACTAATTATCTATAAGATTCTTTGTAACTCATTATCTATAAGATTAATTATCTATATATTTTAACTACAAAGTTATGGAGCTTAGCGCGTAAAAACAAACAAACAAAAAACAACAAACTCTTCCGCTTTACATAATATAAGATAAGATAATATAGTATAAGATTTATGTTTCTAAATAATGAATTCCTTAACTGCAAAAAATACAGATATAAAAAGTGAATCCCGCAAGTTACTCCAACCTATAGAACTGGACATGTCTAGTGGAGCCGACAGTGGAGCCCTGTGGGCACTGCTGCAGACCACCGCAGCGCCTGGCTGGCCGTTCCAGGGAGACAAAGAAAATAGACCTTGTAACGAAGTTAAATAAGATAAAATGTAATTATTAAGTTATTTTAAGTGCCACTTCACTTTAGGACGTAGCAGCGCGACAGTAGCGCGGCAGAAGCACGTTCCTTCAATGTTATAGCGTCGCTGCCGCGCTACAGTTAAGTTCAGTGTAGCGCACTTGTCGTGGAGAACCTATCGGGTTACCGGGTCTCCGGCTCGAAGTGCAGGAGAAGGAACGGGGTGGCTTTTAGTTAGTAAGAGTCTGACAATCCCTCCCGCCTCACCCAGGCGGGAGCAGTCATTCGATGAATTACCCCGTTAAAAAAAAGTGTGGCGCACTTCATTTCTGTAATGGACGGTAAAACATGTTGCTCCTGCGCGGCTGACGCACTGCTAAAGTCGCCTAAATGTGTAAGAGCTCTTAAACTTCTTACTATACATACATATTAATATTATAAATGACTGCACGGTTGGCGCGGTGGCTGGGCAACTAGCTGCCGTGCAACGTGTCGCGGGTTCGATTCCCGCACGGAACAACTCTTTGTGTGATCCACAGATTGTTGTTCCGGGTCTGGGTGTCATGTGTATGTGATATTGTATGTTTGTAAACGCACCCACGACACAGGAGAAAATCCTAGTGTGGGGGCAACGTTTTATAAAAAAAAGAGAAAGAGAAAAAAAAAGAGAGAAGAGAACGTTTGTACGTATGTTTGTTACTCAACCACGTCAAAACGGCTGAAGGGATCGGCATGCAATTTGGAACAGAGGTAGATTATGGTCTGGAATTACAGTGTGCGTTACCCAGGCCAGATGTTGTCGGAAACGGTCATTTGATCTTATAGATAACTAGCGACCCGGCCCGGCTTCGCACGGGTGCAATATGCATGTATTATACATATGAACCTTCCTCTTGAATCACTTTATCTTTTAAAAAAAACCGCATCAAAATACGTTGCGTAATTTCAAAGATTTAAGCATACAAAGGGGCATAGGGACAGAGAAAGTGACTTTGTTTTATACTATGTAGTGATTAGTTGTGGAGCTTCTGTAATTGTTGCGCACATTTTTTAATTTGTTGCGCTTATAGTTCCTTAATTATTTCACAAAAACATTTCCTGCTGGGGTAACGTTACCCCAGCCAGACCTTTGTCTTTCTAATGGGAATTTTTCAATAATTACTAGCTATAAAATTAGTTCTCTAGATGAAGTAAATGTTGTGCCTTGTTTTGTATTTTTTGTTCTTTCATCGGTTGCGAAGTTATTCGAGATTCTGCTGGGATAACGTTTTTGGTTTTGTAGGATCTTTGAAATGGTTAAGCGGATTCTTATCATATTTTGTGCATGGCTTTTTAGTAATTAGTTTAAATTTGTTCTGCAGTAACAAAAAAACAAAATAATACATAGCTTAAAGGTTATTTCATTAAATAGAAAACACTTAAATTGGTCCCAGCACTCTCAATAAGAGCTAAGATTTACTACAAACGTTACGGAATCCATCCGGCTGGGGTAACGTTACCCTAGCAGGAAATGTTTTAGTGAAATAATTAAAAAATTATACGCAACAAATTTCTAAATGTGCGCAACAATTACAGAAGCCGCACAACTAATTATCTATAAGATTCAAATGAACATTTTCGACAACATTGGCCTGGGTAACGCACACGGAATTACACATAGGCTACTTTTTGCCAGGGAAACGCGGGCAAAGCTGCCGGCTGAAGTAGTAAATTTTAATGTAATTAAGCATATACAAATAATATTACGCCTCTTATTCTCTGAAGGGGTGAGCAAAGTTTTAACTTTAATACTATAGAATTTTCGCTAATATGTACATACTTCGCAAACATGACAATAGTGTCAAAGTCGAAGCATTAACTAATCCTTGATAAGGCAAATAGGCACTTTAGAAACGTCAAATTGATTTGTCAGTGACAGTAGGCGCTCCTTCCAAAGTGTAGTTTCGCATGGAGAAGAACGAGTAAAGAAACTACATCGTTACCCTTTAAAAAAAAATGTTATTTACAATTTCACAAATACTTTAGTGCTTTGCCTGACCCAAGAGTCCAACCCGTGAATTATTCTTCAGTTGTTCTGTAGTCGGCACTGGACATAGAGACAGAATAATTATGCAATGTCTAAGCAACGATTTTAAACACAGTATAATAGTGAAAGCTGACGTTAATCTGTAATCTGTAAATAAAAATAAAAATACATTATTTTAGTTCAAAAATATTCTTTTATTTTTCTCCCAAATAAATAAAGATACAAATTAAAGTCTAGATTAATAAAAAATAATACTTTTCTAAATCTAAATTATCTAATAAGCTAGGTAATACTAATATTGATATCACAATGTTTAATAGAAAATCTATTTTAAATTCACAAATATACTTAACATTACGGCTAATTAATACTAGAGGGTATAGGCCGAGATTATTTTCAATTAGATCATATTCATTTTCATCTTACTTAATATCCATTCCGTACAATAAAATCGTAGGTAAATGAAAACTGTACACCAAATATTTTTAAACGAATGCTTGGGGCATCATCTAATATCAATATCGAAGCCAAAAATATGGTTTCTACAATGTTCGCCTGTTTCTCTGAATGTGTATCTGGTTTAAAACCTCAAAAAGTACGTGTGCGTTACCCTAGCTATAAAATTAGTTGTCTAGAATCTAGACCAGATTCTAGACAACTAATTTTATAGATAGTTTCCCATTAGAAAGAAAAAGGTCTGGCTGGGATAACGTTACCCCAGCAGGAAATGTTTTTGTGAAATAATTAAAAAAGTATAAGCGTGTGGGGCTTACAATTTTAAAATAGTGCGCAACAATTACAGAAGCCGCACAACTAATTATCTATAAGATTCAAATGACCATTTTCGACAACATCTGGCCTGGGTAACGCACACAAAAAGTACTGTATGGATTTACTTTAAATTTTGCATGAATATTACTAACAGGTCGGTTCAACGTGTAGGCTACATATTATGACGCTATCATCTACGGGGGAGGAGCTGTGAATCACTATTCCACGCGGACGAAGTCGCGGGCACAGCTAACAATATTATAAACATGAAAGTTTGTCTGTATGTATCACTCAATCACGTCAAAATGGCTGAAGGGATCGGGATGAAATTTGGAACAGGGGCAGATTAGGGTCTGGAATAACACATATACTACTATGCTACTTTTTACTCCACGGGAACGGGCAGAGCAGCTGGCAGAAGCTAGTATGTACATTTATCAAGCAATCTTTAATCTATCAATATGCTGAGGTCCGGCCTGTACAGCATGTATCCTCAATAGATGTCTGACTGCGTTCCTACGTCTGACAAACGTGTTCTGACATATTCTACATTTGAAGGAGTATTGCGGCGCCTTGTGTCGATTTTTGTGTATCCTCATCAGGGTGACAGATTTGAACCGGGCAGGACATTGGTCGCACTGCAAATAGAGAAAAAATAAACTTAAAATATTGTTCCGTATATTTTTAGTAATAAGACATTTTCGAAAAACGAGAATGCTCAATGAATACCTTTTTTGCTCAAGAATCGAACCCGAATCGAGTTAAACCGACCAACGTTATAGGCATGCTGTATCATCATCTCTAATCTTCTATACATATAAATAAAAATGAATTTCCGTTCGTTAGTCTCGCTAAAACTCGAGAACGACTTGAAATGTTTGTGGAAGTCCGGGAAGGTTTAAAAGGTGAGAAAAAACACCTTTTACCACCGCAGCTCTTCGCATGGGTGTAGTATATCCGACTCAGGGACTAGCATAGGGACAAAAGTTTAAGTGTGGGAGAGCCATGTTTCGGCACGAATGGGCTGGCTCGACCGGAGTGATACCACGGCCGGGCAGAAAACCGACGTGAAGCAACGCTTGCGTTGTGTTTCGTCGTGTGATTGAGGTTACCGGAGGCCCAATTACCTTCCCCTTCCCCAATCTCCCCAATCCCTGAATCCCCAGCGATCCTCAAACTCCTAATTCCCAAAAAGCGGTGACGCACTTGTAACGCCTCTGGTGTTCCAGGTGTCCATGGGCGACGCCGATTGCTTACCATCAGGTGATCCGTCTGCTCGTTTACCGCTTATGCCATAAAAAAAAACAAAGTGAAACCTGAGGGCTGTAGACTAGCATTACACTGACACGATCTGTATGTAATACGAACCTGTACGTTTTTATCAGGGAGATGTATGGCGACGTGTTGGAGGTAGCTACTCTTGCGGTGGAAGCCGGCGCCGCACTCGGAACATACGAACGGCTTCTCACCAGTGTGGAGGCGCTCGTGAATCTGTAACATAATATCATCACGTCTTTTATCCCCGAAGTGGTAGGCAGAGGTGCACATTACAACACTTAATGCCCGTGTACAATGTAACAACCACTTTTCACTATTTATGTTACGAGTCCTATGTAATAAGGGGTGAGCCTATTGCCATATACCGGACACAATTCCAGACTCCGTGCTACTACTGAGAATAAAAAAACCAGTAGTACTTAGCATGACCCAGGAATCCAACCCGAGACCCCTTGCCCGGCAGTCGCACTTGCGACCACTCGGTCAACGAAGTAGTGAGAAAGGAGTGCGTAGAGAAATATCCTCTTCATAATCATTCTACAGCCAGAAAGTGGGGAAAGTACCCAGAAGGCTGGCAGCATTGCCACGTTGTATGGCAATGCTTAACCTCTGACCGAGAAAAAGACCTATAATTAATTTTAATTATAGGTCTTTTTGAGCGGCGGAAATCATCCAATGGCTTCTCCCGCCCGGGTGAGGCGAGAGAGTGTCAGACTCTTACTGACTAAAAACCACCCCGTTCCTACTCCTGCACGTTGAGCCGGAGCCCCGGCAACCCGTTAAGTACTCTGTGGTTATTGGCATCAGCTTCTATTTAATGAAATAACTTTTAAGCTATGTAATATTTTGGTTGTTTTATTGCAGAACAAATTTAAACTAATTCCTAAGAAGCCATGTGCAAAATATGATAAGAATCATCTTAACCATCATCATCAAACCAAACAAATCATAAAACCTTTTGGTTTGATGATGTTGAAGGATGAAGTTATTCGAGATTTTTCTGGGGTAACGTTTTTACGTTACCCCAGAAAAATCTCGAATAACTTCGCAACCGATGAAAGAACAAATACAAAATAATCCACAACATTTACTTCATCCAGACAACTAATTTTATCCTATTAGAAAGACAAAGGTCTGGCTGGGGTAACGTTGTGGGTAACGCACACGATGGCTCCTTGAGGCGCGCGCGGAACGCTCGGCGCCGTACTCTCGGGTCTGGTTCTGATTGGCAGGCCCGTGGATGTTGCATAAATAACACGAAAACAAAAACGATTCAAATTGGGATGATGGTATGAAAATTAAAAATCTAATTAGTCCGTAAGTTAGGTAATGAAAAAATATTAGACACGTATTTTTTTATTTTGTCGTATAATAAATACTTAGATAAAACGAATCAAAGATTAGGGGGCTAAAACGTCATTTCTACGCATAAAATGTACATAGAAGTGACGTTACGCGTCATTTCAAATCATAGTCGAAAGTATTCGTTTCTGTAAGAAAATAAAAAATACGTGTCGAATGATTTAAAATAATCTACCAGACGGAAATTAAAAGAAAACACTAATAAGGTTCAAAATAAAACGACTATTGTGTTCTGATCTGCTAGTTCGATAAATGCTCTAAAAATACTCCTTTATTTGAAGTTGGTCAACCCTATCAAACTCATGTAACGAAACCATAGCGCGATCTATATCGATCCCAACGCCATTTATCGGGCGAGGGGTAAAACTTTTTAATACAAATTGATTGCTGTGGTTTCTAATTTACATTTTGATCACAAACAACCCTATTGTAAAAACAATTTCTTTTTGTCAGCGTTTCGGAAGCATTCCGTCGTCACCCAGTATTCTTAAAGAAATATTAATATTTAAATGTTCTAACCTTAACCTGCTCCGCATTAGAAGCTCTATAATCACAGAAGGAGCATTTGTCCGTCTTCTCGTACCCGTGCTTAGCTCTGCAGTGCATCAGTAGGAGGCGACGGGTTATGAACTTCTTGCCGCAGTGCTGTGGACGAAAATATTTAAAAAATAAGTATTTTTTCTAGCCATGTTAAAAAAATATTAGTTTCAGTTTCACCTTTTGCTCGATTCGTATTCATCGTAACATAATGTTTTATGGCTCCTTCGATAAATGCACTATATAACACTTTTTTTTTTATTTCTAAAACCTATTAGTTTATCATTATAATTAATGATCTGCCGAGAGCCGTTAGCGCTGCTAAGTGTTTATTATTTGCAGACGATAGATAGATAGATAGATATCTATCTATAGATATAGATCACGCAGTTAAAAATATCTCAGATTGCAGTGATCAGCAACGGGACATAGACGCAATAGCAAAATGAAGTGAGACAATAATCGACTGTATTTGAATGGGTCAAAATGTAAAATTATAACCTACACACGCGCTCGCAGGCCAATAATTGCCAATTATGGGTTATCGGGTAGACAATTGGATAGAGTTGAGATAATGAGACTTGGGACTAACTTTAGATTCACAACTAAATTTCAGACAGCATAATCAATACATAGTATAAAACAAAGTCGCTTTCGCTGTATGTCCGTATGTATGCTTAGATCTTTAAAACTACGCAACGGATTTTGATTGATAAGTTTTTTTAATAGATAGAGTGATTCTTAAGGAAGGTTTGTATGTATAATACATGCATATTGCACCCGTGCGAAGCCGGGGCGGGTCGCTAGTATATGATAAATGCTTGTGAGGGTGCTAATAATTTGTTGAGATTTGTGATGAGCATTTCGTCTGACTTTAAGGGAATTAGAGCAGTACTAACATTACACAAGGCTTATGTGCGTAGTCGGCTAGAGTATAGTGCGGTGGTGTGGGATTCCCACGAGACAAATACTCCATCTTAATTGAGCTAATCCAAAGAAAATTCGCTCGATTTGGAATTCGCTCGTACATGAAGAGGTACGGATATTACACCTACCTTTAACCTTCAATGTATGTCTCATGGGATGTTAGGACTTAAACATTTCCTGCTGGGGTAACGTTACCCCGTTAGCATTAACGTTAGCTATAAAATTAGTTGTCTAGATGAAGCAAATGTTGTGCTTTACTTTGTACTTGTTTATTCATTGGTTGCGAAGTTATTCGAGACTTTGCTGAAAACTAATTTTATAGCTAGTAATTATTTAAATATTCCCATTAGAAACAAAAAAGCCTGGCTGGGGTAACGTTACCCCAGCAGGAAATACTTTTGTGAAAAAATTAAAAAAGTATAAGCGTAACAAATTTAAAAATGCGCGCAACAATTACTGAAACCGCAAAACTAATTATCTATAAGATCTGGCCTGGGTAATGCACATGTATACGGCAATAGGCTCACCCCCTATTACATGGGACTCATAACATAAATATTGAAAATAAATAAAGTGCCGTAACGTGCACCTCAGGCCTTCGGGGATAATCACTCGCTTGGTGCGTGTTTGCAAATAACTGCACGGTAAGCGCTGTAGCTGGGCAACTTGCTGTCGCCCAAGGTGTCGCGGGTTCCATTCCCGCACGGTACAACTTTTTGTGTGATCCTTGATCCTTAAATTATTGTACCGGGTCTGGGTCATGTGTATAATGTGAACTTGTATGTTTATAAATGCACTCACGGTAAAGGGGAAAATCGTAGTGTGTGGAAATGTTACATAAAATAGAAATATTCCACAAGGGCTCCGAATTATTGCGTGCCCAAGGCTCCCAGCATTGTCTAAGATGGCCCTGCCTATTATATTAGGTACATGGAAACCAATGTAGTTCTATTTACTTCAGATTAAATTACCCTTTTGACCGCTGCGGTCGATTATAGCTGACAAACTAAATGTACTTAAAAATAATGTTTTCTTGTCTACTGTGACGGAGCACAACATACTTTGTAGCCGACCATGGTGTCTTAAAGGTTAAAAAACTCTTGATTGTCTTGAGTGCTACAAATTAATATTAGGATATATTTGTACTTACTTCGCAAACCACATCAAATCCAGTATGAATCTTATAATGATTTCGTAAAGACAGTTTAGACGTTAAAATCTTATGACAATATTCACACTCTATCTCCTCTTTAACTCCCGTTTTCTTCTCTCCATCTTCTTTTTTTCGTCTCAAAGTCCGTTTAACGGGCTTATCACTCTTTTTACTTCTTGTTTTTCTTTTGAAATTATTTTCTATTTCTTTATCTTCTTGATCTTTAGAATCATAAATTAAATCTTCTTCGTGTTTCTCAACCTCATCATACATTGTGTAATCATTAATTCCATTATCGTGATTGTGGAAATCGTTAACTAAGTCCGTTATGTCTATTGATATTTTGCTATCATTGTCTGCTGGGAATATGTCTGTTTCTAATTTAACGCTGCAGATTGGATTATCGTTAAGTCTCGCTAATAACGATTGGTAGGTTTCTTCGCATTTTTTTCTGAATTTGTATGATGTGTTTATGAAGTTTATACATGTTGTGCACATTTGTTGAGGTAGTGTATCGTTATATTCGACCTGGAATCGTTTTAAAAAACTTTTTAAATAGTTTTTAAGTTACAAATGCATTGATATATATAGTTGCATGGTAAAATAAATTTTCTGGTTAAAGATAATTGTTGCAGAAGTCACAATATAGAATTTCAAGTATTCCTAAACTTTACCTTAAGTCCAGTAGCTGAGAAAATAACTTCGGAATATTTTTCGTGTTGATTCCCGAATTGAAATATTGGGTGCAAAGATTCCACGCTCAGACATGTTCTACAGCAGTTCCAAGTGTCCATATCAATAAATATTGTAGGATATACTTGTTAATTACTAATTTAATTAATTTTTAAGTAATAATTCTCATTAGAATCATTCATTTTACATAAAAACATAGGAACAAAACAAGAACTTATTGACGCTACGAAAATGACATTTACGTTTTGTTTCATGTAGGTACAGGTAGACGTTTTCTGTTTTAAATACGGTGTTTTATTGTAGTAAGTAATATAATCTTCCTCGTTGTATAAATTACAAAAAACAGACAGTCACAAATATTTTTCATGTTATTTGTAGAGCTAAAAGTTAATTAAACTCCTCAGGCTACACAGACCATTTATAAAACTAAACGTAAAATTAAAACATCTGTTACTTCGACATTGCCAGTTAAAAATTACAAAATTCTACTAATCACACTCATGAAAATTGGGCTGTAACTTTGTTTGACTTCGATATTTCAATCTGTATTATTAAAAAGCTGACTAATCTAATGTGTAAACTTACAATTCTATCTCGAAGGTCCTTACAAATATTTATAACATTCAATTTTCAAAACCTGTCAAAAACTACCAATAGGTGCTTAAAAGTCAAAGCAATAGGCAACATTAACCTGTCAATGTCAATCTATACTACCTACTGGAGTTGTTTATGTTTTTAATCTGATCAATATTTACATAAAAACACCGATTTGTCTAATTAAAAGTGTAAATATATCGCTAATTTTTATTTACGCCACCTAAGTATTACTACTAATTAATTATTCAAGTCATAATCCTGTTATATCTTTAGGAATAACTTAGAAATTTGGTAAAAATGTTAGCGTTATTACTTTTAAACAATATGACGGCTAAGCGCAAGGCTGCGAAACGAGTACAGGCTCTAAGAGTAGAGCAAAGAAGACCAGCTTCGAGGGATCCAGAAGCGGCATGCTGCAGGACTTGCCTAAATAGAAATACAGACGATTTAATGGCGATATTTCTAGACAAAGAGAGCGAAATGAAAAGATCGCGCGAATTGAAACTTGTGACTGGATTGAAGGTAAGATTACTATATTACAGGCCTAGTTTCCTACGGTAGGGTAGAATACACTATTCACCACCCTTACTCTTCCTATGGGTGTCCTATACCCAACTAAAATCACATAACTTGACAGAGAATGGACAGCTGCACTTTCTAATAAGCCCGCACTATTTATTATTTGAAACTACGAACTCCAAGCTGCATGTCACGCGTGGAGATGATTAATACATTGATATACCGAAAATTTATCAATACAAAAGTAGTCCCTAAACCTCAGAAATAAGGTCTATAATGGAGTTAGTGGACAGTGGTCACTGGTGCGCTTGAGGGACTGGACAGTTATGCTAATGAAGCCTCTCACCTCTTGCCTCTCACCTCTCACAGGCTATTAGTATTGAAAACCTTCTTTAACCCCTTATCTGCCAGTATATGAGACATAATAGAAAACACATTGTGTCTCGAGTATATGTATGTCCTCGGCATACCAGAGGTTAAAGTCATAATTTATGGATCGGCTCACATAAAAGAATATAATTTTGAAATTTG